AGAGGACAAAAAGATTAAGAAACATTATTTATATTTATATATTTATATTTAGTTTAAATAGTTTATAACTGTTAATTAAGAGCATCGATATTTCTAATGCGTTTTCTTTCTGTGAAGCAAGTGGCCAAAGGTCATCTTGGATTGACTGTGGCGTGCTCTGTTTGACTCCCAGGTACTCCCTTCCCTAAGACCTTCATGCAGGTGGCTAAGAAGATTTTGTCTCGTCTGTTCCGGGTGTTTGTCCACGTCTACATCCACCACTTTGACCGCGTGAGCCAGATGGGGGCCGAGGCTCACGTCAATACCTGCTACAAGCATTTCTATTACTTTGTCACTGAGTTCAACCTCACGGATCACAAAGAGCTGGAGCCTCTGGTGAGTCAAAGAAGGGATGGGAGCTAATATGGAGCTAAAATATAATAATAAATGAGATTATATTTTAAGAAATGTGAATAAAATATGCTTTGATACGTTATATGTTAAATAATAGGATTTCAAACATTCAATCTTAAACTACTTAAAGCAGTATTTCCATCTTTTTCTGAACAAAGCAGCGTCAGGCAAAGTTATAAGTCAATAAACATAAATAATATCTACCAGTATGTGCAAAGTCACGTGAAATTTACTAAACACAAAGAGTACAGAAAAGTAGAGCATGACAGATACTGGATCTTGGCCGGTGTCGATATTTGACACACAATACAAAACCTTTTGATAAGGATCGCTTGTATTTGTTTTTTAAGATAATGCGTTATAGTTGAAAAAATAAATTTGTCAGCGCCTCCTGGTGGACAAATGGTGTAATGGAGATAATGTTAAACATGTTTGGGCATCTTCTTTTGGCAATATCATGTTACTTATTGGCAGACATATATGTCACTGATATACTACTGATATATTTCCAATAAGCTTATACAGATGGTAAATAGTATAGTAGTGGCTAAACTGTGTCCCATATTTAGTGATTGCTTGTAAACAGTAATCTTGTGCGGCGCCCTGGTGACCTAGAGATTTAAAGGACCAGTGTGTAGGATTTTGTGGCATCTAGCAGTGAAGTTGCAGATTTCAACCAACTGAAACTGCTTGCCTTCACCAAGCATGAAGGAGAAACTATGGAAAGAAACAAGGCCCAATCTACAGCCAGGGTTCGGTTTGTTCGTTCTACTGTAGAAACTGTAGAGGGCACGCTCTCTCTGTAGATAAAACTGCTTATTGTAAGGTGACAAAAACACAACAATTCTTATTGCCAGGTGATTATAAACTACTGAAAACATATCTATGAATACTATATTTAATTTCTGCCAATAGATCCTCCTAAATGTTACACACTGGACCTTTTTAAGGCGCTGACCGTGAACTGTAACAAAATTTGAAACATTGCAAGCTGATATTTCTAACAAAAGATAATTTCCTCTTTCGATAATTTTAACATGTTTAACTAAGAAAAACACCAAACCATACCGACGCACGAGCACGTAAGAGACCTGTAGACGTCCAATTTATCACGCAAATTGCGACTGACAATCATTTGTGACTCGCACGAATCACTTATGTGAAACGGGACCCCAGCTGGCCACTTTTTTGTTGTTCATTTTCTACAAAGATAAATTAATCTTCATTTCCCAAACTGCCTTTTCTCATTAATTTATATGATGAAATAGTTTTCCAGAGAATTCATTACTTCATACTGATAAGATACCCTTCAAAGACATCGATCAGTCGTGCTGAATGACCGCACAGCCCCAATTGATGTAATGCTGTGACTGATTGTGTGCTGATTGTTATTTGTGTGTTTGGGAGACCTCATTGTGTATCGAACATCCGTGTGACCAAACCTTTTAGACAAGAAACTGGATGTTTGCGATGGAGATTAGTGTTTAGTGTTAGTCTTTAACCTTCTACTCAAATCAACACTTAAGGTTTACTTGCAAAGCTGTATCTTTTTTTCCCCCCAATATTATCTTTTCTGCATACACTTACAAATATATTTTAGGAACCTGCGTACTGCATACTGTGTGGTAATGTTTTAAAGCTTACAGGTGTTTTCTTCACCGCTCTGACTCTCTGTACTGTGTGTGTGTGTGTGTGTGTGTTTGCAGAAAGAGATGACCTCTCGGATGTGTCACTGAAGGAGCACACCAGTCGACACAAGTGGGGCGAACGCATCCGTCCATCTAGAAGCTTGCAGCAGAGAACATAAAAAAGAACAAACAAATTCAAAAAAGAGTCTATTTTTATATTTAAGTACTGTAATCTATTTTAGCCACATACTGTAGGTTTCAACCAAGAACCTGGTCTTATGAGGTGTTCTCTTCCTTTTTAAAAAGTTTTCATCAGAGCACAGTATTAAGAGGTATGTTTGTGTTGATGTTTTTCTATTTTATTTGAATCTCAATCATTCCAAGATGCTTCTGTCTTCCTCTCTGTTTTAAAACGATCTAAAACTAGTACGATTTCTTACTGTACGTCTATAAAATCATTATGTTGTTGCATTAAAATTATTCTCTTCTCTGTTATAATTTGAATTGGGTAATCAGTATATAAATGAAAACTGACTGGTTATCTTTTCTGAAGCTAAAAGTACTGGGCTACAGCCTGAGCTAATCAATTGTTTTTTTCCTCCAGGCTGTCAACAGTTCAGTTTTACCACTCATGTCTGTACATTCAATGCAGTAATGTAGCTTTTTTTTAGGCAGAGAAAGTATTATGTACAAATGTTACAAATAACAATGAGAAAAATACATTTCTGTTTCTGTTTCTGAGAGTTTTATTCATCTTTATTTAATCATGCAGCCTCATTTAGATCTCTTCTCAATTTCAGGCATTCAAATATATTTTAGGCCCAGTGCCATTTTAAATATTATATACATATTTGGAAATGAACTAAATACAGTTATTGCCTGCTGGTGACTCAGGCATTATTAAGTCTGTGTCATTGCACACTTCGGGCCTCGGGCCACCAGGCGGGTTCTCAGATATCAAACCTGCAGGTGTTTGTTGCAGATACTCTTGGCTGCTGAAGGTCACACCAGACTGGTACCTCACATGACTGGTGGCACATGTTGAAAAGACCATAAGTAAAACTGTCCACTGGGTGGCATCAGACACCAAAACCCGCCCGTGGTGAAGGCTGAAGGCTGAAATCCTACAGTTTATGCTGTAGCCCTTATGCAATCGGCCCAATGTCCCAGTTATAGTCATGAATAGGGGAAGCGGAGCCCTTTTCTAGACCTGATTCGGGTTAATGATTCGACTAAGATGGTTATGTAAGAAACAGGCCAGACTGTACCGTGGTGAACACAGAGAGAGGTTTTGTTTTGAATCAGCCTGGCTTTGCATGGTTGGGTCAACAGCAGTCATGAATAGGCTTGAGAACAACATTGTTGGTCAGATTTAGAGGCGGTTATCAGTCATAATAGTGTGGATTATGTAAATAATGAGCGGCAATCTTGCACATACAACACTCCCTATGTAAACAAAATTACAAGATAACTTGTAAGAGCCTGCAACTTGTGACAATCATAAAACATTAAGTAGTACGTTGTGTAAAGGGACCTTTTCCTTTATAACCTCTGCAGGAGGACATTGTCTGCGGTGGCGTAAGAAGTATTCAGATCAAAATAATGGCAATAGGACATTACAAGTAAAGGTCCTACATTCAAAATTTAGTCCAGTAAGTTAAAGTACTGAAGCCCCTTTAAAGCATATTGTAATAACAAGTAACAATACATTTATTAATCATGTTTTTCATTGCATTGACTTGAATTTGATTATTTGATACGTAATTTTTGAAGTGAACTCTTTATGTATATTGTTCTGTGGTTTTCTCTAACATATATTTTAAGAAAGTATGTTTTATGAGTAAAATGTCCATCTGAGAAGTAACTACAGCTGTTAATTGTAGTGGAGTAATAAGTACAGTATTTACCTCTTTAATGTAATGAAGCAGAGGTATAAAGTAGCATAAAATAAAAATACTCAAATGAGGTATAAGTTACTTTCTACCACTGATTATCAATCAGTCATATCAGCTGGATGTTTATGCCACTGCATCAGCGTTTTCACAACCAGAATATTTTGTATCCAGGTTTCCTCCTTCATTCAAGCTGGAACAAGATAATATTTTGACATATTGATAAAAATCTTAATAAACCAACATGATGTAACTATCTGCCCCAATAACATCCACCACTGAAATGACCTCATTGCCTACTGCAACCTGATCCTCTTACAGGATTGCCCCTCCTCTCTGCCTCCTCCTAGCGGAGTCACTTCCTCCCAACCACTCCACTGTACTCTGGCAGCATGCGTTACGTGTGAGATGAGCTGCGTCCGCCTCTCGCTCATCCCTCCCTCTCGTGTGTTTTTCTCTCTTGGAATGTACCAGGCAGCCCCGAAGGGCTCTGCAGTTGCAAGACATAAAGGAAAGTACTGGGAAAGAGGCCAAGAACAAGGGGAAGAGCTTCAAGCTGCAACCAATCAGACCGAAGCTTGTCCAACTCTGTCAGGGTTTACACAGCAGTGCCTGCCCTGCTGTTTTGATGCCACAGTGTCATTATTTACAAGTAGAGAAAAGGGTTTGGGAGATAATGTGACTCAGCAAATGTTGGAACGAGCACACACCCTTAACGGTTTTGTGGTTTGTGAGTCAAGTCGCCTCACGCAGTTCTGTAGCTGGTAGGGATGAAAAGTAATCAGGATTTTATGAGCCTGCAGCTGAAGAAGACCCACAACAGTTCCAGTAACATAATGAAGAATTTTAAGGGGAACACCAAAGCAGAAATCTATTGGGGTTTTTTTTTTGCCAGCTTCTCTTTTCTTAGTCCTGTATGATGCTAATTTGAAAACCTGTGGGTTATGGACTGGACAAAACAAGCAATTTTGTTTTGTTTAGAGGCCAAATAGTTAATTGAGAAAACAAGCAGCAGAAATATAAACAATCTTTAATTGCAGCTGATTGTTACAATATCCACTATAACACAATGTAGCCTATTTTACTCTGTACTGTATTGTCTCATGTGAAAACTACATAATAAAATGCAATATCTATGTAAACTGAGTAACAGTGAGCAATTTCCCTTCAGACATGCAAACGTTCCTCTGTGCACTGTAATTTCCCCTGATGTTTGCACAACAAAGACTGATTATTAGTCATCAAAAAAACATGCGTGTCTGTTCTCATGTCTTAAACCTTCTCACTTCCCATTGGTTTAAAAAGAAAGTAGTGCAACAGGGATGATTTATTTCATGTAACCACTAAAACTACAACTAGTTATTCATAAATTAAATAGGCACACAAACACTACAGCGCAGCCCGAGCAGCTCATTTCATCTCTGTGTGCTGGTAACTAGTTACAGACTGCAGTTGGTGTATTACCCAATATCGAAAGAGATTCAAGGAATTTAAAAACATGATTCATTTCTGAATACTTTGTTATACGTAGTTACGTAACAAGAGCAAAGTGCAAAAAAAAAACAAAAGCATACAAAAGGTTTTTCCAGAACACAACTGGAACAAAGTTGGAACAAAACAAAGGCTGTTGCAAAATCTTTGGTAACTCTTTCTGTGTTAAAGGAGTTTTTGCTGAATATTGGATTCGTTTCAGTCTTTCTACTGTAATATCTAAAGCATGTTTTTGCAAGAGGGTGATTTTTAAGACTTTTCCTAACTGGAGACTACATCCTTCCAAGAAGTTTGCTTTGGGAATGTTTCTTAGAAAACGTACAACCTGCACCCTGGGGCACTGTGACCCTCCATCCTGAGAAAAGTATGCAGAATATTGTAACTGTGTAAGAAGCTGCTTCTAGCACACTTTGTGGTGTTTGACAGTTTTATTTTGACGTGCGTGACGTGTGCATTTCAAAAATACATTCACAAGTGACAATATACTTACCCGTATGCACAGATGCATACTTTTTGTAATAGATAGTGTGCGAATGTTATGGCAACAAATCTCGCTGGTGGTGTCGTCCTTTCAACGCATCAATCAAAATGACTCCTACTGGCCATTAATAAAGCATTTTTACTGTAGATTAGTGCTTTTTTTTTTACTGTTACATGGTGATTTAGCTGTAGGAATGTACTATTTATTACTGTTACATGGTGATTTAGCTGTAGGAATGTACTATTTATATGAGGATAGCAGAGTTTAGAAGGGGTTATAATAATTTAAACATAAAGTTTTCCTTTTTTCTACTTGGAAAAATCATCGTCATCACATGTACATTCTGTATCATCTCGTCGCAGCTCTCCATTAAAGCTATAATGATCACACTGACTGAGATAACCCAAGACTCCATATTGTGTTATGGCTGCACAATTGCATCAGATGGAAATAATGTAGTTGTCTGGTGCATCATTTTATAAACATTTCCTCTAAATAACAACATAATGGACGTGATGCAGATGCACACATCCTCTGAGACAGATGGCAACGACACAGCTGGTTGAACAAATATCTGCTCTCTACAGCTTTATCTCCATACTGCATCAGGATATCGTAGGAGACTAGCTTTGAACTGCATTTGGTTCACAACGACCACAACAAGAGACACACCTCTGTCCTATCATATTTCATACTGGAATATCCTCGGCCTATAAAGAGACCCCCCCCCCCCCCCCCACCGTAGGGCCCCCCCCACCTAGGTTTGTCCTCATTGAGTGCCATTCACTTCAGAAATGGGGTTGTTGCCACCTGAAGTTATTTACGATGGCCTATCCCTCTTCCTTTTGACCTGTAGTGACACAGACCCACCCCCCTGCACTTCGACGTGTGATCTTGTTTTCCTACTAAACCTTCAACTACACCATGTGCTCCCGGCTGGGGATAGCCAGCCAACAGCTTGCGTAATGTTTGCTACCATCGAGGCTTATGTTTGAGGGGCAGGAGGTGAAAGGAGGAGGAGAGGCAGAAGGCCTCCAGTCACAAGACAGTCGAGTCCTGAAAACAAACCGTACATGGTTTTAACTCGAACGCCCTTGATAAACAATAAATTAATGCGAATACACAGCAGGTCTGTGGACTATGGATTATACGCGGTGATCAATAACAGTTGTGATGACACAGGACATGGTACAATAAAAGATTGCTTGGTATATAATGCAACATGTGTCACTTACTGTCTGTTATTAGTATCTGGACTTAATTAAGGAGATGCATAAGAAAGAAGAATATTAACATGAATATAGTATTATATGCCATCCTTCAACTGTACCTTGGGTGTCAAAATACCACTGCCTTTAATCTCTGCTAAACACTGTAGGATGAACTCATCAGGTCTGTGGCAATATTGCTTTGGCATTTCACAATTAGCATCTCCCTACATCTGAGTTCTTGGATTTCTCTCATTATCACTACCGTGAGACAGAGTCTCTCCGCCCAGATGAGAACAGCTTCCTCATCAGGCCCTAAAACGTGCCGTGTCTGCATTGTCACACATCACAAAACGTGGGGGCCGCGAGCTAGCCACCAGGCTCACGTTCCCAGTCCATTACTGTACCTAAAATACAAATAATTACTGTGCATTGTAGGAATTTTTTGTGCTTTGAGTACAGAAATAGTCCCGAAATATATTGTAGTTTTCTTAAAAATACTTACTTCCCCCCAACAGAGTTTAAATCGATTAACAGTAGTCTGATAAAACTTCTAATATTGTTATTTTTTTAGTTGTATCCAGTGTGGGAAAGTAACTAAGTGCATTTACTCAAATACTGTACTTGCTGCTTTATAGTTCCACCACATTTTAGAGGGAAATATTGTACTTTTTAGTCCACTACATTGATTTAACAGCTTTAGTTACTAGTTACTGTGAAGATCCAGGTTTTAAATATATAGACAATCATCTTATAAAATATGATTGTTATAGATTAAACTAACAGTATACAAAATACAAGAAAATAGCTTTAACCAGCCAAAACAAACATGCTACAAACATAATCACCAATCCAGTATTATAAGATTATGAGTACTTTCACTGTTGATATTGTAAGTGGGCTACATTTTAATACTCATACTTGTTAAGTAAAACCTTTGAGTGCAGGTCTATTTTACTTGTAGTGAAGTGTTTACATAGTGCAAACATCTGAGCTGTCTTCCAGGTTGCATGTGAGTAAGTGTGTGTTGCACTGATACTGAAATGTTGCAGCAGCCACTGACACACACAGTGAGTCAGACTGCATGTGACAATAAAAGTTTTAAAGTCGTTATATATATAAGACACACAATAAATGGGAGCGGTGGTGTTCGTCTGCTCACACTCCTTGTTTATATGTTTACCAAAGCACAAAGCTGACTTCCTATTCATAATGGAGGCCCTGACGTCCGGTGACAGCAGCAGAAACAGTTATTATGATTTCAGCTCCGTCATAGTGTAAATAAACTGGTGGATCTGGTTTGTCTACATGTCCCGTCCCGCTACACCTCCATTGAGATCCTCCTGTCTCTTTCAACAGGGCAGCAGTAGGTGCTGATTGTGCCGATGTGCACGTACTCGCCGTTTCGTTCCGCCATACATCTCCACCGTGTGGCCTCCACAGCAAAACAGAGCTCACCGGCCGAGTACCATTTAGTGTGTCCCCCCCAATTTTGTTCCCTTTCCTTTTCTTCCCGAAATGTGTTTTTATGCCATTTAAAGCTATTTAAAAGACCTCATCGTGTTAAGTCTTATTTTTTTTTAATTTATTTTACACACCACTTCGGGCACGTATGCGTATTTTCCGCGTCTTACCACGAGAAAGTGGCAAAAAGTCATTGCAGTGAAACGAAGTGGTACGCAGCCACCATTTCCCTTTTCTAGAAAACACATGATCCGTCCTGTCTGTTGATGCGGGCCTGAGGAGGGAGGAGACAAGGAGGAGTCAGGAGGGAGGTTATAAAACCACCTACGCTGTTGCTTGCCAGCCACCTACCACACACTTCCTATCAGGCGTATCCCCCCCGCGACCGTCCTCTGCGGCTTTTGAAGCAGTGGGTCAAACAACGACGCTAACACTGGAGCTGTAAAATTAACAACGGGGTGAGTACTTTAAATAAATCAGATAGCGCTTAGTTTTATGGTCTCATTTCGAAAGGCGCGAATCGCCCGTTAGTCCGCAACAGTCAGTGACTGACGTTACTTAACGCGACTAACCGTTGTTGCCTGACGTCAACGTTAACATCTGCCACAACCGGTCAACTCCGAGGCAAGTGACGACCAGCGCTCGCGGTTGAACCGGTTCGACTCGGAGACGTTAGCCCACGACCGTTAAAGAAGCTAAACGGCTGCTGCAACGAGGCACGCTAACTGAATCTGGAAATAAGAAATAAAACCCGTCTTTCCGACATATTTCTCATTCACCCAACATAGTAGTAATTTGATTATGAACATTTTACTACACGGTGTCCCATATAATCTAGACTCTTATACTGGAAATGGCAGTTTAAGCAAACGTAGGGTGTTTATACATTGTAGCTGTTTGCGTTGTGCACTTACACACAACACTAGTTTTGGGACCAAGACGAAGCTTTAACTTTCGTTTTGTGGTTTTAATCTTTGGAAATAAATAATACTGTGCTATCCGGTTGTTTGGTCAAGCTCAGTGATTCAGCCTCTTGTGAGAGTGTTGTTGTAACGCTTGCAAGTGTCGTGTTTTTTGTGTGTATGTTTCCACAGCTTCCCGTTTAGCGCCGCAGCAAAGCTCACCAGCCTGCGCAGTGTTGATCACTTGCGACTCTCTCTGAAACCTTTCTGTTTCGGAGGAAGTGCAAAATTGTTCCCAAAAAAAAAAAGCAACCACTGCCGCAGCCGCCGCCGCACACCAAAAAACAAAAACCACCCCAAAAAACAGAAGCAAAAATGGTGCAAAACAAGATCACCGAAGTCACTGGTTTCCACCGCTCCTTCAAGGTGAGTTTAATGTGTGTTAATGGGATGAGAGGCGAGATTGCAGATACATTTTGGGACGTCTCTATAAGCAGAGCACGTATGAAACAACCCCACCTCGCTGTGTATATAAATAAACACATCTGTTGCTCTCCCACATCTTATGGCTGAGCACATGTAATATGTGACAGAGTTGTTGGGTTACTGGCTGTATATCGGATGTTAATGGTGTTTTTAAGAGTTGGTGCCCATCAGCAGTTTTGCTGTTAGTCAGTTTATGATTCCAGGAGATAACAAACGCTCTTATCGTGTCATTGATACCTTTTTTTATCTTTACTCCCTAGGGCCAAAACCCCTTTGAATCGGACGACTTCACTAAAAATGGATCCCTTATTGATTCGTCGTTCAATTTCGACTCCTCCCCAAGACATGGTGAGTAGTTTTAACTTCGGTGTTTTTGAAGACTGAGACTTTTACGAGTTTTGCCTCTCACATTTAGTTTTCCCTTTTCAGTGTTTCTTTTATTCCCTACCTAGCACACAATGAAGGCACTCCTCTTTTTACAGACATACCTTCCAGCCAGCCTATCGACATCCCCGATGCCAAGAAGAGAAACAAGAAGAAAAAGCGTTGCCGGGCAACTGACAGTTTTTCTGGCCGATTCGAGGGTAAAAGCTTTAATTTCCAGCATCAAAACGTCGTCGTTGTGAAAAACTCTTTAACATAAAACACCATCCGACACCTCGAGAGCATTATTCTCCTAACTCGTCCAACTCTGTGCCACAGATGTCTACAGGCTGCAAGAAGAGGTACTAGGAGAGGGCGCTTATGCCAGAGTGCAAACGTGCATCAACCTCATCACCAACAAGGAATACGCCGTGAAGGTAAACAAGCAGACGCACTTAACGGATAACTAATGTATTTAATTTCTGGTGCTTCGTTGCCTCGTCAGCAACTCTCTTACACACTGTTGAAGAGCTCGGTGGAAGGAAACTAGGCTACGGGTTGTGCATCAATGCGTCCGTGCTTCTTTCTTTTCACAGGTCGTTCTTTAGAAATCTTTGAGGAAAGTTGTGATCCCGGGGCAGGATGCTGGCTTTTCTTCCCCCCCTCAGTGCAGCTGTGTATAGCGGATGTCTGCAGGCCTGTGTTGTGCTACTGCTGCACTCTGTGTTAGCAGGCCCCTCCCCTCACTGTTTTTACACTTTGTCAGCCTATCGGAGAGCTGGGACGGAGATACCCACCCCTCGTTTCTTTACTCTCGTTGCCTGCAGAGGACGCTGTAGTGAGAACATTGTGTACTGGTGACTACGCCAAAACAAAAACCCACAGAGAGGAAGGAGGGGTGCTGGGTGAGAGTTACGACCCAGGGTGTTTACACTGCTTTGTTCTCCTTCTCGCTCAGTACAGTTGTACCTTTTTTTTCTCCTCCTTTTCCTCTCCAAATGGGGTGTGGACTGGTGAATGCACGTCTTGACTCCCGGGGACTTCCTTTTTTGGCTTTTTTTAAAAAATATACTTCTTGTTTCCTCATTTTAGGAACAAAACACGGCGATATTTGTGCAGAAGAGTAACAACTGGGGCTTCTTTTACGAAGTTCTTGGCCCCGAACCTACTAATCCCACTGAGACACTGGACGTGAACACCGAGCTATTCCTGAACTTGTAATTAAATCCTATTTGCAGTTTAATTCTGTTAAAGTTTGAAACAAAGTGCCAGATAAAGGCCGGTCCTCCACACATCAAGTGTCCATATCACACCATTAATATTTCAGAGAAACCGGAGCACTGATTCTGTAACGCGACCTGTTCGTATTGTTTACCCTGGGATGGTTTGGTAGATCCCTTGGGACTCTGCCGGTCTGGGGGGAGGAGGCACGAGGGGCCGGCAGTCATTGGAGGTCATTTAGGAGTCGGTGGGGGCTCAGACTGCTCCTGCCAGATGTCCAGTCTCTCCTCTCCCCTCCCCCTCCCAGACTGGGGGTGAGTTGTGTGGGCTTCTTGTGTTGCGATTTCAACAAAAGCCCCACAGGCAGAGGCCTATCTGAAGCTCCTCTCCTTGATGGTATTATTTCACAACCCCGGGTCGATGTTTGAACCTGTTGTGATTTGGCGGGGCCTCGTTTTGCAGCAGGGCTGTTGTGATTCTGATCTGCGGTTTCGGATAAACAACCATAAACCCAGTTAGACCGGCATCTGCACGTGTCGTTATCAGGCGTCAGGGTGGGAGTTTTGTGTCGCGATCAGGAGAAAGTGAGCCGATTGTGCTGCTGACTCAGACGGGAACAGTGCAGAGGCTTTGGGCTGCTCACAGGCCTCTTGTCTGTGCATTAATCCTGGACACACACTGCAGCTCGGGGCCCCGCTGGGCTTCAATAGCAGCTGTAATCCAACTACCAGGAAGAGAAACACGCACAGCCTCCCGAGCAGACAATAACTAACCGGGGCTGGAAAATTCAGGCCTTTTGCTTTGGTGTCAGCAGTCTGTCTCTCTGTCTCTCTTGGCAGGGCACCGTGCAGCTGGTGGCCCCTCTGTGGTTTGGTTCCAGGCAGCACAAAGTTATATTTAGAGCATTTGTTTTTGCTGTTATCGTAAACCGCTTCGGATTAGCCCACGGGACGTTTCAAAGGAATGCTTATGACTCCTTAAGAGCACTTAGGGTTTAAATATCACACATAAAGGCCAAATATAGAGCCGCTGTGACATGCTGCACTGAAAGTAGGTTACCAGTCGCAGGGCTCAGCGTATGGAATATAATCTGTGCTATACCGCCCGGCCTACAGTAAACGCACACTTCACTCAGATATTAACTCTGTCAGACCTGCTTTTCCTGAGCCATCAGATCACTGAGTCACAATCCATCCTGCTGCTGTGGAAAAACATGAAAGTCAGACTCATTTGTTTGCCACTATGTTTAGATACCGTGACTGAACCGTAATGCTCTGTTCCAGATCATCGAGAAACGACCAGGTCACAGCCGCAGCCGTGTCTTCCGTGAGGTTGAGATGCTCTACCAGTGTCAGGGCCACAGGTAATGTTCTTCTGCCACCACCAACTAGAGTAATGCCACCTGATGAATGTATGGATCAGTCCCGCAAACGGACTGATCCAATTTGTGCTGCGTCTTGTTTTATTGAAGCCTCTTCGTCCTCTTACTCCAGGCAGCGGTTTAATATTCTGTTACCGTCGGCTCATGTTGCTTTTCTCTCTCCTTCCCCTTTTTTCTGAAGTAACATCCTGGAGCTGGTCGAGTTCTTTGAAGAGGAAGACAAGTTCTACCTGGTGTTTGAAAAGCTCAGAGGAGGTAAGTGAATTACAGCTGCTGTTTATTTTTAAACATTCCTGTACTGCATATGCACAGTCTCTAGTGTGCAGCCAGTTGTTTGTGTCTGCGTGTGGGATTCACTCTATGATTTGTGCTTGTAAACAGATGATATACTCTTTATTTCCCCCCTGTTAGGGTCCATCTTGGCTCACATCCACAAGAGACGCCACTTCAGTGAGCAGGAAGCCAGCGTTGTCGTGCAGGACATCGCCAGCGCTTTGGATTTCCTGCATAACAAGGGTGAGACGAACAAAACGGCAAGCAGTTATTACCGGCTCATGATCAGCAAACAGGCAGAACAGCCCCAAACACGTACATGGACCATGAAAAGGGTCTTTGTGTGGTACACAACAACTTTACAGGAGATAAAACTGAGCATATTTGCATTATTTCTTGTTCAAATTGACCAAGCACCCTTATTATTCACATTTATTGGAACTGGAAAATGCTTGCTTGTTGTTTTTAAATGATGACTGATTGTTTTAATGTTTTTATTTTTCTAGGAATGGCACATAGAGACCTGAAACCTGAAAACATCCTCTGTAAGAGTGCAGACAAGGTGAGTTTACTGCAAACATGTTTGAGCCCAAGGTTCAACTAATGTGGTGATAAAGTGCGATAAGTTGCTCTAAGATTGTGACGATTAATGACTTTATTCCACACAAACGATACGAATGAATACAAATTAAAAAAAGCAGATGAATCTGAATGATTCTGAACTTGAATCTCTTTGTCAGATTTCCCCGGTCAAGATCTGCGACTTCGACTTGGGCAGTGGGATCAAGCTGAACAGCGACAGCTCCCCCATCTCCACCCCCGAGCTCCTCACTCCTGTAAGTCCGCCGGCTTTTAGAAATGGGAACGGGACATACACGTTAGCACGATGTGGGTGTGTAGAGCGAGGAAGAGATCATTCATCCGGCCTCGGTCACATTTGTGTCCTTGTTGGGTGTTTCAGGCTGTAAAACGACGTCTTTATGAAGTCCCACAGGCTGGTTGTCTATTGGGCGATCCTCAGTGGTGTTAGCTGCAGGACAGCCCGCTGATTGGGAGAGAGAGAATATGTTTAGAGGTTAAGATCGTTCAGCTTCTCTGAAATGACAAGGATTGTTTCCTGAATGTCTGGCAGCGTTTGTCTTCTCTTATCGGAAAGGTATCGGCAACACTTGGATAGATATCACTCAGTTTAACGTCCTGCTGCTTATCAGTCGCAAATATTGAGCCCCGAGTGTTTGGAGGGAGGAGGGTTGTGATTGTTTAACCTCTCTGCTGCCGTCACAGCACAAATCTTCAGTGCCCAGAAAAGTGAGACCCCTACAACCTCCGAGAGGAATGGTAAAGTCGAACTGGCAAGCTTTCTACTTGTGTCAACACATACTCAGTCCGATGGTTGTCCAGTGGGGGGGAGACGGACCAGAGCAGGTGAAGGAGAGAAGTTCAGTGTACAGGAATGTGTGTGTGTGTGTGGGTGTGTGGGGGGTTTCTACACTGGTAACTTCATCTTCCTGTAGCAGGATTAATGGATATTTGAAGGGGAGATCGTTGTGGGACCATGAGGCGCCTCGTATTTAGTCTGCACTGACTTCAATGTTGTTGTTTTTTTTTGTTTTAGGATTTGATTAGAAGTCAAGATTTGTGTGTATGACCACAAGATGTAACGCAGAGAGCGGAGTGGAAGAGCAGTACGCTGCAGGGTACACATTGTGACTTTTAACAAGGCCGTCTGCAGTATTACGAAGAGGTTACAGTGAACCAAAACACACCAACTCTCTCAGTTCCCCTTTCTCTCTCTTCTCTCTGCGGTACGACAGAAAAACATCCCCCCTCTTTCTGCTCAGTCTCCGCCCAGAGGCCCCGACCGCGCTTGTGCTGCTCTGCGCTTTCTTTATGTTCTTCATACAAAAGGCTGTGCATACGGCTTGTTCTAGAAACGTTAGTCTTTTACCCCATACACCTAGCAACTGAGATGTGATTGGCTGGACCGGTGGGAGGGGGAGGGAAAGGGGGGAGGGACAAACACCCAGGCTCTGCTCATGCGCTCTGGCTTGTTTTCCTTTGCCTTGATCACAGGAACAATGTTATCTGATTTTTTCATCTCGCTGCTGGCACACACATTCCTACAGTTGCTGTTTCACAATACAAAGTGCGTTTGCAGGTTCTGTTTATGTTCCTCGTCCCACCGAATGTGTCTTTATATTAGTTTAATCCAGTGGCTGTTTGGGGATGGGCGAGTTTACGAGGGACTTTTCTATTAAAGGGCTAATTTTAGTTTACTCAGAAATCCGTACATGTGGATGCCCGTCACATGAAATAAATCTGAGCGATCGAATGTCAGCGCTCGTGTGCAGCCGCTGGTATCTGCGAGGAACTGCAACGTGAAAACAACACACGCAGCAGCACAGTTTACAAATAAAATCATGGAAATGTGTCTGTCTGAGATGGAGGTGCAGCTGAAACAGAACCGGTCCTCTTACTGTAAGCCTCTTCAAATAATCCAGAGGTGTGTGTCTGTGTGTGTGTGTGTGTGTGTGTGTGTGTGTGTGTCACCAGTGTGTGTGTGTGTGTGTGTCAATATGGTCTGACGAGTCACGTGGTTTCAGGAAAGCCCCGGGTTGCGATGCCAAACGAGGTCTGCGGTAACTGCAGCTGATTAGCAACTATCTGCAGCTTACAGGAAGGTTTTAGGAAGAGGTGAGTGGTGCAACTTCAGAAGGTGGTTTCAGCAGCAGGAAGAACAACTCTTATCGCCGCTGGCAGAACTGAACTGATCTTTTCTCGTGACTTTTATTTTGGTGGCTTTTTAAAACGAGATTAGCCTCCGTAAGCGAAAGTCTCCTTTTGTGTCTTCTTATTTCTCTGGCAGCTGCATTAGGCCACAATCCTGGGGGCTCGTCTGCGGAGGCCGTCGCCCCAGACATGATGTTGTTGTTGGTTGGAAACGTGGGGGTTGGGATTTTCTCGCCGACAGAAGCAGCTTTGTCTGAGACGAGATTCCTGTGCAGCACTTTTTCATTACATAAGGCGTGCAGCGGAGTGGAGGAGGAGCTGAGAGACAGCTGGGGTTTGGTACTGGGACACAATGGAGGCCTGCTCAATATAAACATGCCCACTCACAGATGGAGGAATATAGGCCAGAGGGGGTTTGATAGAGGGGACGAATACTTAACAGGTATTCCCAGAGCAAGTTCTCAACATTTATATCAGTAGTTACGATGTTTGGAGTAAATCTCAAAGAAAACAAACCCTTGACATGAAATAAAAGTTCTTGATTTCATTGATAAAAAAGAGACAATTAAATCTTTCCCACAAATATCTACGTGTCCCGCTGAACTACCGACCTGCTCTTTTTTTCCCTCTTCCTGTTCCTAAAGTATTAAAACAGCATTTGGTGTTTGTGTTTCCAAGTTATGTAACTGCGGCGGGTTCAGCCCAGTCTCTGGCTCTGCAGGACGGCCAATCCTCTTTTCCCTGCTCCGTGTTTGGCCTAATTTGTCTCTCGGCTACATAACGAGGCACCGTCAGAGCTCGGTCGCTGGCCTCAGCCCGTTTGGTTGGTTTGTGTACAGCTGGGTGGTCAACGCAGTGACTCACTGCTGCTGCCCACACACACTAACCTGCTTCATTATAGCTCAGCCTTCCCTCCCTCGACATATCTATAATTGTACATGATGTTCCTACTTAAAAAAAAAAAAAAAAGAAAAGCAGGGCATTTTAAACAAACCATCACTGCAGATCAACATGTGACTGTCACACAGCCCCCCCCTCCTCCACGAGGAATCAGCTGAGTGAAGGACTGTGAATGTTTCTCTCTCTGCTGTAGCTGACTGCTCTCTGTGACAAACCGCTCTTTTCGTTTCCTCTTTGTCTCTCAGTGTGGCTCGGCAGAGTACATGGCACCCGAGGTGGTCGAGGCCTTCAGTGAGGAGGCCACGATTTACGACAAGCGCTGTGACCTGTGGAGCCTTGGAGTCATCCTCTACATCATGCTGAGCGGCTACCCGCCCTTCGTCGGCCGCTGTGGCGGTGACTGCGGCTGGGAGTTAGGGGAACCCTGCCACACCTGCCAGGTAAGAATTTGATTCGTTGAGCCCCTTTTTTTTTTTTTTTTGAGCTTTTCTAAATCTCGTACGGAACGATGTATCTTAACTGATGGTAAATGTTTTCTGTCCGTTTCTAGAACACTTTGTTTGAGAGTATCCAGGAAGGGAAATACGAGTTTCCAGAGAAAGACTGGGCTCACATCTCCTCAAGTGCCAAAGACCTAATTTCCAAACTTCTTGTTCGGGATGCCAAAAACCGCCTGAGTGCCAGCCAGGTGCTGCAGCACCCGTGGGTGCAGGGGGTAAGTCTAAAGTCAAGACTTCTGCAGGTCTTTAACAGTCTGTTTGGCTCAATGCTGAGATTTATAACTAACTCGTGTTTATTGTTTTATTCAGGGTGCATATGATACTTTACCAACATCCTTCTTGCATCAAAGGTGAGCGGCTGTTACAGCTACAGACTGTACTCCTTCAGATATTATTATTATTATTATTTTGCAGCTCGTATTTGATTTAACTGACGATTGTTTGCCTCTCGTCCATTAGAACCAGCAATGCCAGGGATCTGACATTCTTTGCTGACAAGGCCATGGCTGTGAACCGACAGCTGGCTGAGCAGGACGGCATGGAAGACCAGCAGCAGCAGGAAGTCCCGTTTGTTGTCACCGCCACCGGTTCTTCCATGCGCCTCTCTCCTCCTTCCAACTCCAAGCTGGCCAGGCGCAGGCAGCGAGGCAGCCAGCCGAAGGGAGGGCCCGTCTCTGCTGCAGAGCTCCGTCAGCTCTTGGCCCCTCTTGTTATTGTGGGAGACTGTGCCTGAACTCTTTCAACCCTGACCTCCGACCTTCCGTTAAGATTAAAGTCCAGATCTAAGACTCTCCCTCTCCTCCTCTGGCCCCTCTCCCTGACTCTAGCTGGCCCTGGTTCCTCTGCCATTCAGGCTTTCTTGCCTCGCTGTTAAAGGGAGATGCTACTCGCAGCCCTTTCTCTAAATGCCTTCTGCCCTCCTGCAGCACTTCTGAAGCACATCAGCCCAGGGCCTGCATATAGCAAATACACACACATGTGCATGTCAGGGTTTGGGAGGAGGGCCAGTTAATGATTTGGGAGAGAGAGAAAGAAAGAAACAAAGAAAGAAAGAAGTATTTTCTAAGTTATGTTCTTTTTTTCATAAAACTCAGTTCAGAAGAAATCCGAACACTTATCTACAAAACTAAGCTCAGACACCAAAGGACAACCTGTTGTGCTGCTCCCACGTTACAACTGGATCCACTGTGAATTAAGTTATCTGGAATGTTCTCTTTGCCTGTATGTATGTGCACGAATGGCCCGTCTGCAGATACGTACAAGCTTATGCAATATGCCAAGATGAAGGCCGTTCCTGTCTCGAAGGGATTCAGTACGAGGGGTTGGAAGGGCTGTAAGCCGATGCTGTCCGTGCCTGGTGCGGTCCATTATGTGCTTGGGAAACTATTCAGATTTTTTTTTTATTTTGTTTTTGTTTTTTTGTCTCCATTTAAAGATAAATTCCTCAACACTGTAAATGTCTGAGATAAAAACATGCACTCATCTAGCTTGGTGGCCATGCACTTAATGCTCCTAGAGCCGAGAATGTTTGTCTGTACCCAGCCGTGACTTACTGTTGCACCGATCATAGTTCATTATACGAACGTGTATGCTAAATTATCAGTGGCCACACCTTTTCAGTGTTTATATGAAGCCATCAGGCAGTCTAATAGTGTTGAATTAAACTATTTCACTTGTTATGATGCAGGGCCACCCCCCCCCCCCCCNNTCCTCCCCCCCCCCCAAATGAGTAAGACCTCTGAGCCTGCTCGGGAGTCTCTGTGGTACGTTGGTACAAGCAAATTATGTTGAATGGCTAGGCAAGACTGGGTCAGTACTTTCATTGTAAAGCTTTCATGTTCCCTCGCCACAACCAGAACTTGTAATTTTATTTTTGTTTTGTTTTTTCCAACAGATCAATTTATGCATTCGATTGAACCTTTTTGAATATTTTGGCAGTAAAAGTTCGAGCTCCTATCAGGGGTCTGAAAAGCACATTTTGGCCCTTGTGACCCCCGAGTGTCATTTATTGATTGAATACTTTTATTTGGACCTTTTCTATTCCCCTCAAAGGTTCACCGTTGTCTTGTTTTGACGAGAAACCCTCCTCCCCCCTTTACAAAATAATGACATTACAAATTTATTACAAAATAAAAGGCAGGTGAGATTTTTCCAAAAAAAGAAACATAAAAAAAAAAGGAAAAACATTCCACAAAAATGAAAAACAACAAAAAAAGTCTTCCACGGACGTGTAGCTGTATTAAGTTTACTTTATTTTTCATGTTTGAAAACTCCATGGTAATGTGCCACACTGATTTATTTTATTTTTTCCCCTTTTTTTTCCCCTTGTGGCTGTTAATAAGCTTTTATTTTCTATGATTTTCATGCAGGTGCTGTTCAGTTCAGGTGAAACACCGGATGTTTTCCTTTAAGTTTTTTTTTTTTTTTTTAAATGTTTTGTGTTTTTAAAAGTTCAGAGTATGTGGTGTATGAGGGTGAGCTGGAAGGGTTTAGTTGATCTGGAGCGTTCATGCCCAGCGAAGGCAAAGTTTTTAAGTTTTATTTTTTTATGTGTAAGAGTTGGCAATAATCCTTTTCTTTTTCTCGTTCAGTTTTAAGTTCATTAAGCTCATTCTGAAACTGACAGGTAATGGACTGGTGATGAGGTCTGACAACACTGTAGCCATTTCACCAAAGAGGGTTCACGTCATGATACTGAACACGTTGATCCATCACCTGAAGCAGTGAGCGGTGCAGACTTCTGACTGTCCATGTCCTGTAGCCAGCACTGCAGCGACGGTACTCTGGAAATGGCTCCTTTGGTGTCAAGGACCCATTATGCTGATAATAGGACACTGTATTAGTTCTAAAATACCCTTTCTACACATGCATAGTTATGGGGTTTTATGTCTTATAATAAGACTTACTTGAATTTGTGTATGCAGCTGTTTCTTCTCCATTTGGGAAACTACTTTGCTATCAGAAATCTCAAAGCATTAAGCTGATGATTTAAAAAAAAAGGCAATCTTGGGGGTTTTTGAAATTACCAATACAGTTCAGTATTCTGCCTTTTTCCTCCTTTTTGAGCATCAAACAAGTTAGTCCCTACTTTTTGATAGGGTTGGATACTCAAACGCACAGACTTTGGCCACACTCTGTAAAATCCTCAATGGTGAGAGTTTTCCTGGTCACGACCATTTCTACTTTTTCCTTTTTGTCAAAAACGGCAGTAGCTTTTTGTTTTTTCCTCGACTGCCTTTTATTGGGGGGGATGAGGGGACAAAATGATATCCTTAAAGCCTCGCAATTTTTATATTGTAAGTCATTTTGAAGTAAGGAAGTGTTAAAACTCAGTCATTCATTCAAATGGACAGTCCCATCATCGACCTCCCCACAAATCTGAATGTAGCCCACCAGGCAAAAGCATTTACAATCCAGCAGCATTGATCAAATGTTTTATAAATGGTTCATTTCATGGACGTGGTGTGGGGTTATTCTGTCTGTTGATACAGTCCTCAACATATGATATATTTTTTTTGAGTTGACACCTGATTTTAACACTGAATCGCCCCAAAACCCATTTTTGTTCATGGGAAGAAATTTGAAATAAGTACAAAAAAAAAATATTTTGATTTAAAATAAGCACTTTACTGTACCATGTGAATGATTGCAGTTCACTCAAGGCAACATTTATGACTAGTTGCTACAGAATTTTGTATTGTTTTTCTAAAAAAAAAAATAAAAAAAATTGCAATAAAATGCTTTGAACTACTTTGTGTCTGGTTTACTGAAACGTCTGAGAGGAAAACAACTGCGCCCTCGCTTGTATCTCTAGTTTCATATTAACCAGCTGTGTTATCTGTTTCTGGCCAAGGCTGTTTCATCTGATTCAAGTGCTGTAAATCTTTTTATCAGCAACACTCCCTGATACCTGAGCTGACTATGTCACATATGTCCTTGGCTGTTGGTAAATATGAGCTCAGTTGTCTGAAATGTGACGGTGGTTTCACCTCTGAGTGAGTGTGTTAATGTGTGAGTGAGTGAGTGTGTGTAAGAGTGTGTGTGTGTTGCACGCTCTACAGTACAGATAGGCCCGATCTGACGAGGGACTGATGCAACCTGCTGCAAGAGCTGCAGCTCTCCTCTCATATGCCACCTCATGAGCTCCCGGGAATTACAGAATGACTTCAGCTGAACACCAGTGCATCATTTCCTCACCGCTACATGTCAGGATTTGTCTTCCTGTGGGGGAAAGAACAAAAACCTTCATGTAGATACATAAACTGGGTTTGGTTAAAGGTTGAAAAGACGAATAAAAAACACATTAGGACAAAAAAGAAATAACTGATGAGCTATTAGAGCTGCAGCTATTTAGGATTCTCATTATGGGTATGATTTATCTTTATTTGATTAATCAGTTAATTGTTTGTCCTATGAAAATCCAGAAAGAAATGGTAAAAAAACCAACGTTCAGAGGCCCAAAAATGTAAAACATGGTTATCATTTAATAATGATGTAAAAACAAAAAGAGGCAGCTAATGCTCTCGTTGTGACCACTGGATAACTAAAACACTATTAATTATTTCAGCCTCTATCTCATTTATCACATTATGATTCCTCCATTCTCTCACTATTTAAATCTGCTGCACCTTCACAGAAATAAATAGGAGTTTAATTTAAAAAAAAAAAAAAAAAAAAAAAAAAAAAAAAGCAAAAACATGTCAATTGCATAACTTAATATCTTCAGTATCACGTCATCAAGGCAGGAGGAAATCAAATGATGCAACAGCAGAGAGTTTCTGTACAATGATCGATGAGTCTCTTCACAGGTGTCTGTCTCCCCCTAGTGGACAGTTCTCACACCTGCATGCAGACTGGAGTGTAACTGAGTACATTTACTTAAAGTATTTCCATTCTATGCAACTTTATGCTTCTACTCTATTACATTTCAGAGACAAATATTGTACTTTAACTGTTTCATGACCTTCCTGTCCAGTTAAAAACCCACACATCTTCAAATTTGGTGATTTTGAATTGTTTCTTTATGGGTTCAGAAAATTATTCTATTAAATATTTAAAAACCCTTTTGGATTAACAGGAAACATGTCGTCACAAAGCTGAAAACAAACTGACTTGATGCTACAAACATGATGAGCTTATAGAAAATGATGCATTGCTGTTGATTAAACTACTCAACAGTTTATAAAATAGCTCAAATTAGCTCAGCTTTGAACATCTACAGCAGTAAAATACAACAAACACGTTAATAATATAATATATTAATCCCAAAACATCATTATATCATATAATACTTACATACTTTTACTTAAATAAGGTTCTGAATGCGGGACTTTTAGTTACAATGTGGTATCAGTACTTTAGCATGATTTTATGAGGATGGAGTAGATTATATCCTCAACCAATAGATTAGATTGTTTTTATTTATTTGCTTACAAACATTAGATATAAAAAGGGAGGAGGGAACAAATCCACCCTGTGTGGGACACAGATCATAAGATTTGAAGTCATGAGTTTCAATTCTCAGATCTGAAGAGGGTCGTTTCTGTTTCTGCTCATGAAGATTTATAAAATAAGAGTCTTGTGATTTAGTGGTTCATATAAATATAAAACATTCTTGTATAATTTAGTATTTATTGTGTTTCATGATCTCACTGTTTGTTTTTAAACTAAAAAAGTATTTTGTGACTAAGTTAAGAAAAGTGTTAAATAAAGTTTATTATCATATCAGGATGAAATAGAAATATTATCCTGATAACGAGGAAACAAAAAAGGAAGCGTTATAACATTTATTGGTGCCACTTCTATTAAAACCCAACATATCTGCATCATATGACCTGATATAGAAATACCAGATTAAAGAAGACACACGATACAGAATATTATACAAATACAGACTTATTTTTTAGTCTCTACATACATGTTGTTTTAAAGCTAAGGGATTGTTTATAGCCTATAAAAGGACAATACTCAATAAACAATAATCAGAGGACATTTGTTAATGCTTCCTTTGAATCAATAATATTCCCATAACATTAACTATTATTAACCCTGTCAATCGTAAAGAAACCTCTGGATCGTAAAAATACAGGAAAAAATACAGATTTTGTTTACAATATTTATCCTAAACAACATTTTCAAAATAAAGGGCCACTTCACTTTTTCACATTTGTCATTGTGAACTTTTAACTTGTTTCCCCAATGAGCCCTCGTGGTCGACCAGAAGGGTTCAAAGAAATGATATACATGTGTGTATTTTATAATATATAATCTATATTCTAAAATCCAATTCATACTATATAAACACAGAAATCCAGTTGGCTGTTCTCATCTTTCTAATTACCCACCAGTCAAACCATCATTCATCATTTAAACAGTCAGTTGACCTGATAACAGTCTGATCTGCTTCTCCTTTAATACTGTTAGTGGCTGTTTAAAGACTAATGCTAATCCCTGCTGTAAAGTATGTCTATAATAAATCTGTTAAATTAAGTGTGTTCTTTAATTTGGTTGAGGCATTTCTTCATGAGAGGTCAAATGATTTAGATTTGTTGGGTTTTAATGTGCTTCTCCATGGATCTCCCATAAGCTTCAGTGGCACCAGACAGCATCAGGACATTGATTATGATCCATTGACCTTTCCTTCCTTTTTAGTTTCCTTGCTCAGTAGCAGGAAACATTAATTAACACAACAAAGTCAACACATTAAAAAAAGAATTCAAGTTCAATTCAACCAAATCTTTCTCAGGTTATTGATTGAAACTGAGGAGTCTCCTGGTGGTTTAACTTTCTTTGGACACGTGTTTTATACTCACAGGACAGGAACAGTCTGAAGTAGTGAAGCAACGCAGTTACTTGCTGATCCATTTCATCTCACAAGATCAACATTACAACAGTCACACAAAGTATTAATGTTTATAAAGTATTAAGCTGCCTGCGACAGGGCCGTTCTCACAGCAGACATTTGAACTGGTCACAGCAGGAAAAGCTCAGGTGTTGTTAATAACATTAACGATGTCTCTGTTCTTCAACACAACCTGAAACTGAAATCATTCTCTTTATTATTCCCACCTGTGCTTCTCCTGCTGCGGGACGTAAACTACATTCAATGGAAGATTTTTAACAATATGGCCCCTAATGTTTTATTTAATGGATTTCCAGTGTTTTCCTGTTACATTTTTTAAAGCTTTCAGTATTTAATCTCAAACTCTTTATACTATTATACTAAATGATTTAAACTGTGATGTCATTTTAGGACAATACAATGATAGAAATATATATATTTATATATATATATGGCTACTGAGTTGCAGTAATAATACAGTAAAAATGTTAAATCACAAGTAATTATTGTGATTAGGTTACAGCACCATTCTGTAATTTAGCAATAAAAAAGTGTGTTTTTACAGTAATATTGTGCCCGATTACTGTAGAAACACAATACATTACTGTAATATTGCTATAAATTATTGTGAATTTACAGTAACTATGATGATTATTACAATAACCTATTGTAATTTCTAGTTATATTATTGTATTTTTTACAGTAATATTGTGACTGGTACTGTAGAAACACAATACATTACTGTGATTTTCATGTATATTACTGTTAAAATAATTGCTGTATGCTACTGTGAATATACAGTAATATATTTTACAGTAATATATATCCAAACTACATTTTACCTGCTGAAAAAATATTGATTTTCTGTTGAAGAAAATGAACAAATGTACAAGGCAGCGTGAAATTCAGCTTTATTAAACACAAGAAATAATAAAAAATGTAAAATAAAGTTATAAAAAATAAACCAAAAGATCAAATAAAACATATACATGAGAGAAGTTAACACATTTAACATTCAATTAATATTATAATATTTAATTTCTTCACTAAAACGTTTAGATCCAAGTGACTCTTTCAAAATAAAACATCTCTGCAGCTGTAAGTGTGAGTGTAAGTGATCACAGCGCTGATTACCTTTATTGATTACCTGTGCAGCACACCTGATTAGGACTCAGGTCAGGTGTTTTTGTGTGGAGAGCACAAAGAGCTCAGTGCAGTGTGTGCAGTGTGCATGAGTGTGGAGCAGCAGGTAGGTATCACGAGACTGCTTAATTTAAATGTTTGTCTGAATTAGAAATAAGTTAAAGTTAAATATTTTCCAATTTTTTTATGTGAAATAATTTTTGCTATATTTAATGTTTTGTTTGTATAGATGCCGAGGTTAAGGCCTCTTTTTATACTTAAAATACATAGTGTTTTTTTTTAAAGTTAAATCATGTTTAACACGTTCAACACGTTTTCTGGATGCACACAATGTTAAGTTGTCAGACAAATGTAATCTCACTAATTAATCGATCTGCTGACATTTAAAAGAGTAGTTTGACATCTTTATTTCCATTAAAGAAGCATGAACATGTGATGTAATAGTCAGCAAATTGGATGTTTATTTCTACACCTTGACCACTAACTCCTGCTGTAAACTGTGATTATATATAATCTGTATTTATTTCTGTATATAATCTGTATAATTTATATTGTGTTGATTTAATATGTATTTTCTAATATTGTACCTGGAGCTGCTGTAGCAAGTGTCCATCAATAAAGTTTATTTATAGGTTTTATTCCCTTTTCCAGGACATTTTAGGGATTTAAAGACTGAATACCTGTGAAATAAAACATTTTAAACACTTGTCTCACTTATTATTTCTGTGTGAAGTTTGAAACCACAGCTCTCCTATGCGGAGCACTAATGAGCTCAACAAGGCAACCAACGGAATAAAGTCAAAAAGAGGAAATACTTTAAAAAAAAAAAACATTTAGAAACTCTTTGTATTTATGATTTTAAACTAAAAACCAAACACGTTAAAAAACGTTTTTATTTATTTTAACAAATTAAAAAAAAAACATTAACGGTTGCCGTTAGCCGTTAGCCGTTAGCTTTAACTGGCAGTTAGAGGGAGCTCGCGGGGGTTAAACGGTCTTTAACCTTAACTCTCGTGTGACGTCAAAGAACGCAACGTGTGTGTGAACTCTCGCGAGATTTCAACCACCACCCCCCCCTCCCCGCAGAAAAAAAAAAACCCCTCCCCTCCCCGAACAGTCCAACATGGCGCCGTAGGGACGTTGTTATTGTTCCGTCGCTCCCTCACAAGCTTTCACATTACGACGAAAAGGAAGAAAGAAACGAAACGTACGCAGAAAAAAACAGACGAGCGTGTTCACGCGGGCATGAGAGCAACAGCCGGAGATAATGCTGAGATCCACCGGCTTCTTCCGAGGGATTGACTGCCCGTTTTACTCGGAGCTCAGCGACGGAAAAGGCAGCAGAAATGGGTGCAACAGACCGTACTGTCACTTCAGACACAGCCAGCAGCGACGGCCGTCCTACGGAGCACCGGCAGATGTTAAGAAGCAGAGGGAGCTTCACTCTGCACAGAAAGGTGCTGAGTGTTTTATTTAAATCCAAGGAGAAACTGTACTTATTGTCTTCCTCCCTCCTCCCTCTTCTTCTTTCTAAGAGTGGGTTTTCCAGGGTTGGACCTCAACGCCACCGATGACAGTGTGAAGTTGGCGTTATTAATTAAGTTATTAAAGCGTCTTACTGCTTTTATCCGTCTATGGTTGTTAACTGAGGGAAGCACAGCTGTAGTGAGCCCACACAGGGAACTGGAGTGTCAAAGCAACAGAAGAATAACAGGAAAGAAATACAGTAAACATCTGCTTTTTATTAAACGAAAGAGTAATGAGGTACCAGATAATGTGGTAGAAATAGTGAACAAATAGTCACAAATAAAGTAAAATGTGCAGTTGATGTGGAATCAGATGAAGAGTAAAGTGTTTGCAGGTAGCAGCATAAAGTAGAGATAAAGATATAACACTTTAATTGTTTTTATCTGTTAAGTAAATTCACTTTGAAGAATAACACCTTCCTTGTCCTGAAGTCTACAAGTTAACTTCTTATGTTTACAACAGAGAGTCTGAGTTATAGCTGCACATATTGTCGTGTATGTTTTCTAATGTCTAAGATTGAGTGTCTCCTCGTGATGACGACTGTGTTAACAACTTTTATTTAGTGCTGCACAGTTAATCGACACAGAGTGGAGATTGAAATATGACCGTATAAGTGCGGTATGTAAACTGGAGAAGCCACAGTTGTTTGATGAAGGTCAAATGTGTGACAAACAGCATTATAATGACGTATTGTAGTGCTGCGGAGAACCTCGACCTACAGATGTTGTTCTCCAGACCTGCAACATTTCCACATAATCATGATTTTAACTGTTTTTTTCTGTAGTAATTGAACTTGTGATGTGAAAAGGTTCATTCTCACACTAATCACGAATCATAATAACAACAACATGATGTGTTTATCGTGCGGTCCACGTTTCTTTCTCCCGGTACTCTGATACCTAAACTCAAGGAGTATAAGAGCTACCTCACTGCATGGAACCGTTTGGATAAATAAGACAATACAGCATTATGCTCCGGGGATTACTGTGGCACTAAAATTGAATGAGTGGCCTTCTGTCACTGAGCGAATGTTCAACTTTAAAGTTGAAAGGCTGAATTTTATGTCAAAGAAGCTGTTGTAATGTGGATGGATGCTTAATAAGGTCGGTATTGTGGTCAGACTGTGATCGGTGCAGCCTTAGTTAAAAGCCCGAAGCCAGTAAGTAAGTTTTTATAATTTTATTGTTGAATTGTATTAAGACTGTTTGTCTTGCTTCCCTCCAGAACAAGGTTATGATCCATTCAACCCAGAAGTCGTGAGGCCGCAGGAGCAGCAGAATGGAAAGCCGGCTGAATCGGGAGACCTCAGCGGCGCTCTGGAGATGGTCAACAAGGCCATCGAGGAGGTCCGCAGCGAGGTGGAGAGAGAGAAGCGGAAGCTCTCGCGGATTGGGGATGAACCGTACGAGCCCAGCAAGAGTGCCAAGTTGTCGCCACCTGACGCTGTTAAAAGTAAAACGCCACCTCCACACATGGCCTACGACCCCGGGAGTTATCAGATGACATCAGGAGGTTATAATCCCGCTCCCAGCTGCAGCAAGTACACCTTGGATTCAGACAACCAGGGGAACAATAGTAACTCCATGGAATATGTTCCTACTTCGGTGAAAAAGCCTCGGACACACACGCACCAACTCCCCTCTCCTCCCCCTAGTCCGAAGTACTCCAACAGCACATCCTCCTCAAAGTGTAAATACACTGTGGACAATTCAAGACCATCTACAGATATGGAGTATGACCCGCTGTCCAACTACTCGGCAGGAATCGCAGCGAGAAACAAGAGGGACAAACGCGCACAAGCTGTTAAGACGGAGAGGAGCAAAACACACAAACTCCCGGGATCAGATTTGTCGGATGAGGAGTTTGTCGTAGCTGTGAAAAAACCGCGGCAGCAGAGCGTAGACTCCAAAAAGTACACTTTCTCTGACTCTGATGGGGAGAGCTCTGGAACAGAGTATCGACCCACCTCGCTTAGAAATCTCCAGCAGAGAAAAGGCAACGGTGGGTTGTTTTGGGACGCTGAGAAAAAAGAGAGAACTGGAGGTACGCTAAATGCACTGACACAGAGGAATAAAGAGGACTTGGCAGGGGACTCGGATGTTCAGGTAGATGTTAAACGAAAGGACAGCCTAGAGAAAAAGAAGGTTGCTAGTCGAACTAGTCACGATAAAAGTGGCAAATCTGAGAGAGCGCACAAACTTGAAAAAGAGGTAAACAAAACAACCGGTAGTAAAAGTAGTAGCAGCAGCAGTAAAGACAAAGGGTCAGTAAAGAACTTGAACCAGGACTCTGCAAAGAAGGAGAACAAGAGTCATGGAAAGAGAGATGATAGGAAAAACACGGTTAAGGTAAAAACATCTGATAAGGTTCAGAGGGAAGGCAGAGACGAAAAGAGAAGCGATGGTAAGATCAAAGCTGTGGAAAAAGTAAAAACGGACTCTAGCAAACGAGATAAAGATACAGAAAATGGTTCAAGGGAAAGCAAGAAACCCAAGTTATCAGACAAGGAAAAGGAACTAATCAAGTATAAAGACCGCCAACACAAAAATGGTAAACTTGATAGCAGTAAAAAGGATGTAAAGAAAGTTAGTAAAAGCAGTCCTGGTAGCGCGAGCAGTAGTAGTAACAGTAAAGGCAGTTCTGCAAACAGCAAAGATAAGGTCAAACAAAAACTCAGCTCATCAAACGGGAAAAGACTTGAGGACAAGCGGCGAAGTCAGAGTCTCAGCCACGCCGATCTGTTTGGAGACGAGAGCCCGGAGGAGGCCGAACGGATGGAGGTGGACGACGACGACGAGGAGCCCGAAGAAGTGCTGGTGAGAAAATCTGCGGATGCTCTAAAAAGGGGACGTCTGAACAAGAGGAAAGTGTCCGAGCTCACTCCGTCTTCCTCCGACGACGACGAGGGCGACCGCTACGTGGAGGGCAGCTCGGCAGGTAAGGACGAGGTCGACGATGTTGGAATGGACTTCTCTAGTTTCCAGGAAGATCTGGACTTTGACTCAGATCCCATGGAGGAGTGTTTGCGGATCTTCAATGAATCCAAGGATGTGAAGAGGGAAGACAAGGGAAGGCAAGCAAAACAGGTATGAGTTTTTTCTTTTCCCGTCATAGTTGAGTTGCATTTCTTTTTCACATTTTCCATGGAACTGGATGAGCATGCCATGTCGTGCCCTCTCAGCCCTCTAGGGATTCAGAGGAGGAGAGAAGCACAGAGAGCACTTTAACCACCCTCTTCCCCGGTCAAAAGAAGAGAGTCTCCCATTTTGTTGCCAAAGGAAATGTAAGTTTGTGGCTTCTTTGTCTTTTTCCATCCCCAACAATGTTTGTTTTAAAGTCAGTCAGCGAGGAGTGAACACACAACATCTCCACCTGTGTTAGAAAACTGTATCACAAGGTACAGCAATTCAGAATTATTCAAATCAATTCAAGTAATCAATTACTCAATGGTTGTTGACAAAACAGTAATTGTTTAAACGTACAGTGTGTAATTTCTGCCACTAGGACAAGACAGTCAAAAGAATAACTAAAGACAAAGTTTGATGACGTTGTGAAGTAGCGTGGGATCATAGGAGTTGTCGTCACCAACGTTGCCGTCAACTTCTCCCGGTTAGGATTCCTTCAGTGTTCGTAGTTCAGGAGGTTTTTTACCGGGAGCCGAATTGTTTGCAGAGGTCTCCTCCTCTCCAAA